GTGCGTGTGTGTGCGCGCGCGCAGTGCGTGCTTGCGTACGTATGCGTGCTTGCGTACGAGCGCGCACGTTGCATCCCAGTTGGCACGTGTTTGTCCATGTTTCACTTTCCTCTTCCCAGCCTCCCTCTTCGCGTCCCCTCCCCCCTTCTCCCCTCCTTCCCCTCCCTCCCTCCTTCCCTCCTTCCCTCCTTCCCTCCCTCCCTCCCTCCCTCCCTCCCTCCCTCCGAAACAACAACAACAAAAAATCAGGCCCTAAGTTTTCGTTTGCGGCAGAAGTTTTTGATTACTGATTCCATCTTTTTTGTTAGTTATGGTTTTTTTCTCGACTCTGTATTTCTTTGGATTGTCTTAGGTTTTCAGTTTCTAGAAATTTTTTTTTTCTAGGTTAGCCCATTTATTGACGTACAATTATTCACAGTACTTTTTATAGTCCTTTTTATTTCTGTAGAATTGGTAGTAATGTCTTTTTTGTGTCTCAGATGAAATTAGTAATTTCAAATCTTATTTAATAATTTAGTAAATTTTTTTTTTTTTTTTACTTAGTCTGGCTAAAGGTTAATTTTAATGTTTTCAAAAAACCAACTTATTTGTTGTTTTCTCCTGGTTTCTTTTATTCATTTGTGCTCTAATCTTTATTATTTTTTTTCTTTCTGGTAACTTTGGATTTAGTTGTTTTCCTATTTCAAACCTTGTAAAATCAGGTTTTTTACTTGAGATCTTTGTTTTTTAATGGAAGCATTTGTAGCCACAAATGTCCCTCCCGGCACTACTTTTGCTATATCTCATACATTTTTGGCAAGTTGTATTTTCATTTATTAAGTATTTTCTAATTTCTTGTAATTTCTTCTTTGATGCATTGGTTGTTTAAATTTAAGGCCTGGCCCTACCTGGTTTGGCTCAGTGAATAGAGTGTCGGCCTGAGGACTGAGAGGTCCCAGGTTCGATTCTGGCCAAGGGTACATGCCTGGGTTGCAGGCTCCATCCCCAGTAGGATGCATGCAGGAGGCAGCAGATCAGTGATTCTCTCTTATTATGGATGTTTCTATCTCCCCCTCTCCATTCCTCTGTGAAATCAATACAGAAATATATTTTTTTTAATAATAAATTTAAGGCCTGCCTATTTTTTGGATTTTCAATAAACTTATATTTATCCCCTTACCTTCAAAATTAATTCAAGTTTGTGTTTTCTCAAGGGATTTCTAACAGCTGTTAAATCCAAATTATCCCCTTAGGTCAGGGGTGGGTATGGTCGTGCCCATGGGCCCCAGAGATCATTTGGTCTGGCCCTGCCAGGGTATTAGGGATGAGTTAATTAAATGTTTGGTCCAGCAGTTCTGGTTGTCCTGCCTTTAGGGTCAATTTGCATATTACCCTTTTATTATATAGGATTTTGAATATTAACCCCTTATCAGCTATATGGTTTGCAAATGTAGTAAGTTGTTTATTTCATTTTGTTGTTGGTTTCCTTTGCTGTGCAGAGTTTTTTAGTTTGGTGTAGTCCCGTTTATTTTTATTTTGTTGTTTGAGCTGTAGGTGTCATATCCAAGAAATCATTACCAAGACTCATGTCTAGAAGCCTTCCTTTCTGTTTTCTCGTAGGATTTTAATGGGTTTAGGTCCTACATTTAACTCTTAATCCATTTTAATTTTTATGAGTGTTGTAGTATATGGGGTCCAGTTACATTATTTCATATGTGATTATCCAAGTTTCCTAGCACCATTTATTGAAGAGACTGTCCTTTGTCCATTGAGTATTCTTGGTTCACTTGTCAAATATTAGTTGAACATATATATGGTTTATTTCTGACTAATGATATCACAGATAAATTCAAGCAAGTGAATGAATCTTCAAGTGCTTATGGAGTCACCAGATTGTGAAGTTACTGGGCCTGAAAGTGTCCTTAAAAACAGCTTGGGAGGCAGTGGCTCTGCCTCTTTTTCCCTTGGTTGGATTCTTCCAGGGCTGGGAGCAATGACTGCTGCTTCTGGTCTGAGGAGACTGGGTTGAGAAGCCTCCCCAGGCCCTGGATGCTTGGTGAGCTGCCTGTGATAAGTGACCTATGCCATTTCTGTCTTTCAGCCACCCCACATCATGCAGCAGTGCTGCCGAAATCATGTCCGTGCTATTCTTCCACATCATGAGATATAGACAGGACGACCCCGAGAACCCGAACAATGATCGATTCATCCTTTGCAAGGTAAGCAGGCATGGGAGCTCAGGGCTTATTCATATGCTCGCTGAAACTCACTTTGAAAGCCACCATGTGGCCCTGGTTGGTGTTGCTCAATGGTTGGCATATCAGCTCACACACTGATTCTATTCCCAGTCTAGGGCGAGTCCTGGGTTGCAGGTTCAGTCCCCATACTACTTGGCACATGTGGGAGGCAACCAATGATATGTCTCACATCGGTCTTTCTCCTACCCTTTCTTTGTTTTTTTCCCCCTTTCTCCATACTTTCCTCTCTAAAAAAATCAATGGAAAAAAATACCCTCAGGTGAGGATTAACAAAATATAAAGATAAAAAAGCCACCATGTGGCAACAAGACAAAATGGGCTCTGTTTATCTTTTTTTGTTCTTTTTTCTTTTTCCTTATGTCTTAGTCCATTTGGGCTGCTATAACTAAATACTGCAGACTGGATGGTTAATAAACAATAGAAATTCATTTTCACAGTTTTGGAGGCTGGAAGTCCAAGATCAAGGCACCATCATGGTCGCGTTCTGGTGAGAGCCCTCTACCTGGTCACAGACTTCTCACATGGAAGAAGCAGCTTCTCTAGGGCCTCTTTTCTAAGGACACTAATCCCATTCTTGAAGGTTCTGGTCTTGTGACCTCATCACCACCCACAGACCCCACACACCTCCTAGTACTGTCACCTTGGGCAATAGGTTTTCACGAACATTTAGGACCACAGCACCAAATAAAGATGTAAAAGGTTGTAGGGAGGTGTGTGGAATGAAGGATGACTTGTGGCACCTACACACCCTTCCTTTCCTTTGGTGGCTCCCCTACTCATCCCACTAGCACAGAGTTACCCTTGGCAGGGCCTTGCTGCTCTCATTCTTTGTCACGTGGGTAGAAGTGGGCAACATAGCGAATCCAACTTGCTGAGCTTGAGGAAAGTTGAATTGGATTTGAGGGACACCCTACCCTGCCAGTCAGCTTTTTCTTCCATTTCTCTGCAGATTTGACTTGAGGACTTTCTCATTACATCAGATATAGTGTCAGGTACCTCATTACATTGGGTGATGGGAAAGAAAAGGAATATTAAAAGCAAGATCGATTTAGAAAGAATGTACAGCTCTGTGTAGCTCTTGGCCCTCCTCAGTTGTGAGTGTCTCCCTGCACAGCATAAGGGTTCCTGGAGAAGAGAAGGAGAGCCTCTATAAGGGCACTTCACCATGCCAGCATTGTGCTGGTGCCCTGCCGCCTGAGGAGGGCTCTCATCCCCATCGTACCCACAGAGTACAGCCTTGAGAAAGTAGTTTTGCTCGTTCCCTCTTTAAATACAGGGAGGCCCTAGCCAGCTTGGCTCAGTGAATAGAGCATCAGCCTGCGGACCAAAGGGTTCCGGGTTCAATTCCGCTCAAGGGCATGTACTTTGGTTGCAGGCTCCTCCCTGGCCCAAACAGCCCGGGCCCTGGCCAGGGCTCATGCAGGATGCAACCAATCGATGTGTTTCTCTCACATCGATATTTCTGTCTTTCCCTCTGTCTTCTACTCTCCCAAAAATCAATGGAAAGTACCTCAGGTGAGGGTTAACAGTAATAAAGCCAGGAGAAGCAGAGTTTGTCTGAGTGCAGGGTCCAGGCTGGGTCCAAGGGCATGCACGGCAACTGGAAGCCAGAGCTTGTTATTGGAGTAAAGTAGGAGCCATGGAGAAAAGGATGAAGCTAGAGAACCGTTAGTGTGACAGTTCTGTGAGGCTAGAGATGCAAAATGGAGATGGAGTCTCGGGTCACAGAGCACATGGAGAAAGCTAGGGAAGTCAGGAGCCCTGAGAGGAGCAGAGGAGTTGGAATGGGAGAGAGTTACAAATACCCATCCACAGTAGTGACAGCACACTAACTTCTGCTTGATTAGAGCTGACATTTAAATGGAGGGAGGGAGCAGACAAGAAACCAACCTATAAATAGCCAGCTGGCATATCAGATGGGGCTGAGCATCCTGGATCCAAGGGAAGTGGAGGAGGGATAGGACTTACTAGTTGAAAGAGATGGTCCAGGGTGGCCATGATGCTGACATTCAATGAGGATTTTGGAAAAGGTGAGGGAGTGAGCAGTGTGCCCATTTAGGCACAAGCCCACTGAGAACTTGAGGAAGAGGGAGCAGCAGGTACTAAGGCCCCAGGGTTTTCAAGGGGCAGCGAGGAGGCCAGGGCACTCAGAGTGGTTGGAGGGAGAGTAGGAGATGAGGGGAACCAGAGGACAATCCCTCACCCGAAGGACAGGCCAGTGCAAGAACTTGGGCTCTACTTAGCATAAGATTGCAAGACTTGGTCAGTTCTTGGCAGAGAGTAACGAACAGGTTTAGGTTTTAACAGGCTCTCCCATGGCAGCTGTTGAGAATGGTTATGGAGGAGCAGGGAAGCCACTGCAGTGATAGAAAGGAGAGAGAAATTATTAGCCAGGCCGAGATGGTGGCAGTGGGAGGATCAATAAGTTCAGTGGGCCTTATGAATCCGTATTCTCCAGAAAGATGGAACGTTTTCATTTGTACATGTCCGGATAAAAGGCCTTGTGAGATGGCAAGGTTCATACTTGGGTTTTCTGCTTTGCTCTTGGGCCCTATGCAGTCTGCCAAGCAGAGGAAAAGCCTCCCTCTACGTTCCCAAAGCTCCAGTTGCCATTTCCGTGTTGCGTTGATTGCCTATGGTCCCCTGTGTGTGATCTGAGATTTGGGGTGCATGTGGTTGTAGTGAAGAGGAAGTCATACCACAGGGGTGGAGGGGACATTCTGAGGAGCAGCCTGTGGTTCTCAGTGCCAAAAGTTGGCCTAATACTCGCCTTCCTGTGTCCTTCACGTGCACCCAGGCTCATTTGATTCCTTCTCTCATAGCGACTGGCATTTGTTGATGTGGCAATCGGATGGTATGGACCAGGACTGGGGGCTGCGTGTGGGATGGCATATACTGGCAAGTACTTTGACCATGCCAGGTAAGTTTCTTGCCCAGAAACCATTTAACTGTCCCCAGGCACTTCGGCTTTATTTAATCAAGTTTCTTTTTCTGAAGAAGTTCCTTTCTGAAGACAGACAGATCAATGCCTTTCTCACAGGGGCACGTGCCCAGGTGCTGCTGAAATGGGAGCAAGGTGGAGGCTGGTAGCTGGCGGGGGCAGGGGTGGGGGGAGTGCTGTCCCAGAGTTGGCCATGGTTATGTGCATGTTCAGAGCTCCTCAGTTCCTGGTCCCAGCCCAGGTGGCCCTTCGGGAGGCACTACATGCTTCCCCCACTGCTCAGGTAGCTGCCTGCTCCATTTCCCGTAAGTCTGTTGGCATTTTTCATCTCTCATTATTGCCTCTATCACTCCCTATCCTACATTTAACTTTTTAAAACATAACGGCGTTTTCGTGGGGTCTGGGTTGTGGTTTATTGATATAAATGTTTCTGCCACGGAGGAGTTTACTATTTGCAACAGAACATACGCTCCTGAGGTAGAACATTTTGATTGTTGTTATTATTGTAAATAAATTTGTAAGATCAGAAGTAGAAGGTGGCAGAGCTTCAAATGGAACTTACAGAAAAACTATGTAAATGTTTGGGTGTTTAAGGGAGCAGCTTTCTCCCCATCCCCTCTTGTGTGCTGAGTCCAGAGAAGGGGCAGAAGAACCTAGAAATAGCCTTCATAGTTAGGAAGAGAAAACTAGCCAAAGGTGGTAAACCCCATCTCATGAGACCTAAGCTTTTAAAGCTGTGTTTCCTCAGCTGTTGAGTTGGAACAGGGCGGACAAGGAAAATAGTCTTAGGAACTTGATGATCTGAAGCAGCTGCCTCGGTCTGTTCCTTTGCTTCTCTCCTTGAAACATGTTCCTTGAGTGGCCCTGAAGAGACCCAAGCAGAGTCCTAAACTGCTTTTTGCTTTCCCCAGCTACCGCGTGTTCTGCCTCTTGGGAGATGGTGAGTCTTGGGAAGGCTCCGTTTGGGAGGCATTGGCCTTCGGTGCTCACTACAGTCTGGATAATCTCATGGCCATCTTTGACGTCAACCGCCTGGGCCGCAGTGGCGTCTTGCCCATTGAAAACTGCATCGAGATCTATCAGAAGCGCTGTGAAGCCTTTGGGTAACTCTCCTTCCTGTCTTGTGTCACCTCTTTCTGCCCATACCCCCTTCACCTTGTAACCTGGCTCCTGCTTGGTTGATAGGTGGAACACTTACGTGGTGGACGGTCGTGATGTCGAGGCGCTTTGTGAAGTGTTCTGGCGAGCAACTCAAGTAAAGAACAAGCCCACTGCTGTCATTGCCAAGACCTTCAAGGGCCGGGGCATTCCAAGTAAACAAATGTTTCTTTTCCGTTTGGGGATGTTAAAAACATCTGTCAGCACAAAAGACGAGGCAGGAGACTCAGGCTGGCCAGGCAGAAAACTGACTCAGTGTACAATGGCTTTGCTTGAAATATGGATGGAGGCTGGAGGCTCTTGCTCTCCTTGGCTCTTATAGGTAGCATATCTGGTGAGAGGGGAAGGGAAAGCCCAGGCCCCCAGCAAGTGAGCAGTGGTTTTCTGCCCACACAAGAAAGTAGCTAGGAGGATGGTCCAGTTAGAGGACTGGCAGGGAATGATCTCCACAGGAGTGCAGACTGAGAAGGTGCTGCTGCCCACATGCGCAGATGTAAGGGTGTACACAGTCACACATGCTTGCCTATGCCCACACTATCAGGGAAAACACAGGCAACTAGTAATATGGTGCCTCTAGGAAAGGGTCTGGGGAAGGAGGGGGTTTTGAAAGTCTTCCTGCAGATGCCAAAGCTGACAACCTAAAGTTATTCTCAACCTGAAGTTGTTCCTCTCAAATATAAATAGTTGTAAAGAGTGTGATTTTTTGGGGGGTGTTTTGACATCAAAATTTTGTAATAAAACTGTTTTATGACTTTTCCCCAAAATTCAGTCTTGCTCCGGTATCCCATTCAGGAAATGACCACCTGACCAATTTGCTTCTGGCAGAAACCTTGGTATCATCCTTGCCTCTAACTCTTCCCTTATTTGCCCCCTACAGACATACCCAGTGCACCATCAATTCTGATGTCTGCCCCTAAAGTATGTCTCAGATCTGTTCACTCTTCTCCATCTCTCCCTAACCACAAGGCTGCTATGGTGATCTTTCTTTTCTACAACACAGGTCTTAGCACTCACCTCCCCCACTCCAACCCTTCAGTGGTTTCCCATCTTGCTTTGGACAAATCTCAAAACTTCTTACACGCCGGGGTCCTCCGTGGTCTGCCTTGCCTGTCTGTCTAGCCTCATCTCCCTCACTTTCCCCTCCATTCACCGGCACATGGACCAGTGGCCCCCGCAAGAGCTTCTTGGCCTTTTGTCTAGGCCACATGTGTCAAACACAAGGCCCGTGGGCCAAATCTGTCCCGCCAGGCCTTGCAATGTGGCCCGCACCGCGCTGTCATCACTGCACTCCGCTGCATTTCTATCACAATGACAGTTTATGACTGTTCAGTAAACCATTCGGCCCGCGATTTAGGCTGGATTTTAGATTTTGGCCCCTTCTCTGATTGAGTTCGACACCCCTAGTCTAGGCTGTCCTCTGGGAGTGCAGTACCATCTCAGGCTGCGCCACGTTTTCACTCCTGTGAGTCCTTGGCTGACATCTTTTCCATCAGAATATCTTAAATATTAGTGGAATAAACATCTTTTCTTCCTCTGGTTGCAGGCGTTGAGGATACAGAAAATTGGCACGGAAAGCCAATGCCAACAGAAAGAGCAGATGCAATTATCAAATTAATTGAGAGCCAGATAGAGACCAACTTGAAGCTCACGCCAAAATTCCCTATTGAAGACTCGCCTCAAATCAACACCACTGAAGTACAGATGACCTCTCTGCCTATTTACGAAGTTGGTGACAAGGTAAGCTAACTGCTTTATCTGCTTCTTTTCTAAATACATGGGATTCTTTCTTTACTCAGATATCCAGGATGAACCAATTATTAGGTGGTGTGACACCTACTTAAAGGTTATAAGCAATTAAGATGGATTTACCTTTTATTTACTACGTCTGATATTTAGTCTTTGATTTTAAACTTATATCTGAATTTTCTTATCAACCATTTGCTACTTATAGTGCTCAGTGTTGTATAGGTTTTGCTTGTTTCCTAAATTCAGTTTATGGGTTGGAAATCTGCATGAAAAAATTGTGTCTACTCTAAGAATGGGGGCCTGACTGGGCTGATCTTTTTGAACTTTTTGTGTGTGTGTTGTTGTTTTTTAATATATTTTATTGATTTTTTACAGAGAGGAAGGGAGAGATATAGAGAGCTAGAAACGTCGATGAGAGAGAAACATCAACCAGCTGCCTCCTGCACACCCCCCACTGGGGATGTGCCCGCAACTCAGGTACATGCCCTTGACCGGAATCGAACCTGGGACCCTTCAGTCCGCAGACCGACGCTCTACCACTGAGCCAAACCGACCAGGGCAAGAGTAACTTACTTTTAATCTTTACTCCTGGTCTATTTCAAGCCACCTTGAATATAGGGAAAAACAAGCGCATCATTCCAATTCATTTAAGAAACCAAAGCATGATAAATCTAGCTCTGGCCAGTATGGCTCAGTTGGTTGTCATCCCGTGCACCAACAGGTTATCAGTTTGATTTCCGGTCAGAGCACTTGTTCAGGTTGCAGATTGGATCCCAGTTTGGGATGCATGCAGGAGGCAACCAGTTGATGGTGATGGTTTTTTCTCTCTGCCTCTCCCTCCCTCTCTCAAATTAATAAAAACAAAACTAGACCAAAAGAAAAACTATATAGATCAGCCCTCACGACTATTAGTGTAAAAATTCTAAATAAAACGGTCACCAATTTCAACTCCCATTAGTATACAAAGTATATGCAAATTAGTAATTCAGAAGATACATCAATATTAGAGAGGAGGAAATTATCATTTTGATGCATGGGAAACATAAGCAATTCATAAAATTTACTCATTCATGTTATGTGTTTAAAAAAAAAAACAGCCGGGTCCGGTTTGGCTCAGTGGATAGAGGGTCAGCCTGTGGACTGAAGGGTCCAGGATTCGATTCTGGTCAGGGGCATGTGCCTTGGTTGCGGGCACATCGGGGGGGGGGGGCGGTGCAAGAGGTAGCTGATCGATGTTTCTAGCTCTCTATCCCTCTCTCTTCCTCTCTGTAAAAAAATCAATAAAATACATTTTTTTAAAAAATTCTTAGCCCTGGCGAGTGTGGGTCAGTTGGTTGGACATTGCTCAGCATCCCCTTTGGCCACAGGCTGATGCTCCAACCACGGAACTGCCCAGCCAGGGCTTAAGGTCTACATTTTAATTTTTAGAGCTGAAAAGTCAAAGGCATTTACATTTTGGGAAATTAAATTATTTTTATCCTCACCTGAGGATACATTTTCGTTGATTTTTTTTTTTTTTTAAGAGAGAACGGAAAGGAAAGAGAAACATTGACTGGTTGCCTCCCGTATGCACTCTGACCAGGAATCAAACACACAACCTTTTTGGTGCACCAGATTACCTTCCAACCAACTGAGCTACCTGGCTAGCACAAGGGAAATTTAAATTTTTTAAACTAACAGCCAGGACCGGTTTGGCTCGGTGGATAGAGCGTCGGCTTGGGGACTGAAGGGTCCCGGGTTCGATTCCGGTCAGGGGCATGTGCCTTGGTTGCGGGCACATCCCCAGTAGGGGGTGTGCGGGAGGCGGCTGGTCGATGACTCTCATCGATGTTTCTAACTATCTCTCTCCCTTCCTCTCTGTGCAAAATCAATAAAATATATTTTTAAAAAAAAATAAAATAAATTTTTTAAACTAACAAATGGTACAAAAGAATACACTTATTTTTGAGAAATTGATACCTTGTGAGGCAAATAGGCATTTAAGATTCACTAGCAATCCATTTTTATGACCCTAAAGAAAATTATTGGTGAATCACAAATTTGCTTTCTTCATTTAGCTAGATAACAACTTGTAATTCTACAAAATGTTCACCTCCTTTCTAAATCCATTCTAAGAAACTACTGTTTGACTTTTCCAGGTTGCTACTCGCAAAGCCTGTGGTTTAGCTCTGGCTAAGCTGGGCCATGCAAATGAGAGAGTCGTTGTGCTGGATGGTGACACCAAGAATTCCACCTTCTCTGAGATATTCAAGAAAGAGCACCCTGAGCGCTTCATTGAGTGCTTTATTGCCGAGCAAAACATGGTGTGTATGCTGTGGGCATCCCTCTCTGGTCTTCCCACTGATTAGCAGTGGCCTGCTGGACACATGAGTCCCAGCCCACCTTACAGTTTTTCTTTCCGTGTATAAAAGTAAAGGCACTGGAGGGGGAGAAATGTCTCCAGGGAAACTGGTAGAAACTAGTTGGGCAAAGGCTAACGGATAGTTTCCAGGACTGCTGGGAGGAGCATGGTGGACTACCCAGCACCCTGTCCCGAGAGGCCGCAGCCATCTGACCCCAAGGCTCTACGCCCAAAACCTCCTGAGCTCCCTAGAATCTCTAGGTGGCCCTCCTCTTTCTGCCCTGCTTATAATTAAGCAACCCGACAGCCACCCAGAGGTTAGGAGGTCGAGAAAGCTACAAGAGAGAACGATTTCTCTCTCCACTGTAGTGCAGGACCTAATATATCCTAGATACTCTAATGTGCCAATTGCAACCTCAAGAATGCCAGTAGAGCTGTGGTCTTGGATAAAGTTGTTTGCTTATCTGGGCTTCATCTCTCCCTGGAGTGATATTAATGCAGGAGTCTGTTAAAGAGTGAAAGGAGGTAATGCTAGTAAAAGCCTGGACTTCTGAAGGGCTGTGCCAGTACAGAACAATGCACACCTGTCTTCACATCACAGAAGCCAAAAACAGCACTGGCCAGAGAACTGGGCCAGCAGAGCTCACATGACCACCAGAGAGATTTTATTTGGAACAAGTAGTATTTACCAATCTTGTAATTAGTTGCCGGCTTTTAAAAGTCAGAGTTTATATAGACTCTGAATTTCTGGATTCTCTTCAAGAATGGGAAAGTCTGGCAACACTAGGGCAGCATTTCCTCCAGTCAGCTGGAGCCGTTTAGATGGGCCGTGTCCCTGCCTCCCACCAGCCTGCTCATTCGCTCACAGTGCTTCCCTGGCCCTGTCACTGTTGGAATTTAAGACCCCCTGTTCAGTAAAAGTAGGTCATCACAATTGTAAGAATATGTACTTTTTTTTCTGTAAGTCTCATTAAGCTATTTCCATTTTGAGTGGAAAGAATACAATCCATAATTTTCTGAACTGAGCCTCCTATCAAAAAGCTTGCTCCCCAACTCATTGATGATCCCTTCAGTCGCCAGTCATATGCTCTTCTGCCTACTAATACGTTCTCAGGGTTGGAAGAGGTAGTAAAGAAGCAGCCAGCACGTACTGTCCAGTGCCATGGTGAAACTAGTGGGTAGTGAGAGGGTGACCAGTGCCAATTGGGTAGCTTCAGAAGAGGTGACCTTAAGCTGAGACTTAAATGACAGGAAGTCGGCCATCCACAGCTCTGAGAGGTGGCATTCCCAGCAGAGGGCACAGCTCTCTCTGACAGGCTCAAATTTGAGATGTTTGTGGAGCAGAAAAAAGTACAGAGTGGCAGAAGCATGGTGACTATTAGAACAAAATTGATTCAGAAAGGTTACCAAGGACCAAATTTTACAGGGCTTTTGCAGGCTACAACCTCATGCAAGTTCCCAGTGGGGGACAAATGAGGAAGGGTTTAACCAAGCCCCAGGACTCAGTCCAGTGTCCCTGAGGAAGAGGTGTGCACTATCCACACACCCATCGTGGGCGGGAGTAGCAGCGGCCAGTGGGAAAGGGGCATTGTCCTATGCAGTGCTGCTGAGGTCAAATACAAGGAAGTGGAGGTCAGGCCAACTCTTGCATTTGGCACCTTCAAGGTCCCGTGTAGGGTTGGTAGCCTATAAAAAGGCGGCCAGGCAGAGAGTGGGAACAGGGAGAGAAGATGTGAAGGTGGAGATGGGAGGGTGAAGATGGAAGATAACGGCGCATGTTCAAATGGTGAGTGAACCCAAGAGAAGGAGAAACTGAATACAGGAGGGGAGGGGATAATGACATAGTCAGAGATGCCCTTGAGAAAGGAAAAGGATGAGATTCAGCACGGCAAGCAGGCCCACCATGCCTCCCAGCAGCACAGTGAAGAGGCCAGATGGGGGGACCTCCATAGTTCACCTCTTATTCCCCGGGAGGTGTGAGGTAACGGCACCAGGAAGAAAGGCGTGCAGAAGGTTTGGGAAGAGAAGGAAGGAGACCCGCAAGGACTGAGGGCAGCCATGGGTGTCCCAAGCTTTTCCTTTTTGCATTTGAAGAGCCAGGTCAGCACCATAATTCCTCTGGTTCCTGGCAATGTTCAGGGGACACTCTGGGTTTGGGGTCTCCCTGGGTATGTGCCTGAGATGGGGTGTACAGAGCAGGGTGTTACCAGGGAACCATGCATTCTACCCTGGGAAAGGGGGGCAGTTAGGGGTGATGGGGGCCTTGTCCAGAGGTATTCTGATGAACTTTCTTGGTGTTAACAGGTGAACGTGGCGCTGGGATGTACTATTCGTGGCCGGACCATTGCTTTTGTTTGCACCTTTGCTGCCTTTTTGACCAGAGCATTTGATCAGATCCGTATTGGAAGCATCTCCGAATCCAACATCAACCTTATTGGGTCCCACTGTGGGGTGTCCATTGGTATGAGTTCTCAATGCCATCTTAATAGTCTTTCTAGTTGACAAAGATTAGTATCTAAATGGTTAAATTGCCAGTGTATGTAGGGTTTCATAACATTTGATTATTTGTAACCACTTAAAAATGATTTTAAAGTTCCAGGATACTCGGGGTAACTTCCGAGTGGGTCTCTTGATATTACTGTGAAATGCCCAGTCTTGCAGTCATTGAGAAGTAATTACCTGTCCTGAGTGCCCCTTTCATGGTTAGCCACATACTAGGCCACCCCAGAATCACAGATTCCTTTCTGCTCTTGGTGTGGTCACGGCACAGGGAAGTGAGGAGCACAGCCTGTGAGGGCTTTGCCTGGGTGAAGCAGCCTGGTGCGATGGGATGGGAAGCTGTGAGAATCCTGATACTTAGGGAGTGAGGCCAAGGAAGATGACACTCTCGGGGCATTAACCTGGCAGGACATGCTCTGGAAACAACGGGAAAAGGGGAAGCCAGGAAGAGGGTTGAGAGATGGTGTGCATTAGCAGTGGATAGAAGATAAGGATGAATCTGAAAAAGTCACATTGCTGACAGATGGAGAGTTCAAAATTGCCTGGGAAACATCAGGGAATCCTGGTCATGAGTGACAGAAATGAGGACTTGGGAAAGACGGAGGTGCCTGATGTACTGGGGTGGGGCAGGACCCCTAGGTAGATTTGACAGCTTACATTTGCTGCTAGAATGCTGGAGGGGAAGGGAGTGTGGGCCATAAGTGCACATTTTGGAGTTATCTCTGAGAATCCCTGGGAGAGCTAGACTGGCCAAGATGTCTCTGGGTGGGACACATGCAGGGGGAGAGAGTGAATTGAAAAGAGAGGAAAGCCTCTCAGGAGAGCCTCTCAACAGCATGTCAGGGTTGGCCTGGGCAGAGGGCCTGGTAGGGATTTCGGGGTCTTTGCATAGAGCTGGGTATAGTGAAAGTTTCCAAATAAGTCAGTGATGTGAGACATGGCTCTAGGGCCAACGCAGAAGAGTTCTGAGGTTAGACACTTAGCACAGGCAATGCAGTGTGCATAGTAATAGCCCCCTTCCCAGCTAGAAGAGGCAGGCCACCCTAATATACACTGGGCTTTCTCTCTTCATTGTGTTTCTGATCCAAAACTGTTCCCAAACAAACCCTAAGGCCTCCATAATCACAATAGCACCCCAAGGTAAGCAGTGAATAAGACCAAGTCCTTCTAAAACCCCCCGTCTCTTGATGGAGAAGATAGAAGAGCAGAGAAGGAAAGACAAAGGTCAAAGGACCCTTTAAGGAGAAGGGGACAGGGACAGAGACTTGATTGACGGGGTGGACTCAACCACCGGTGCTCAAGAAGAGCATGAAGTCCCCTTGGACAGCAGTGGCAATGCCCAAGTGTCAGAGGTTGGCAAGGGTCAGGACCAAGAAGAGATCACTGATTTGTTGATCTGGAAGGTCAATTAGCCAAACCTCAAGGGTCACAGTGGTGTCTTGAGGGAGACAGATGTGTGACAGATTGTAATTATAAGGCATTGTATTGGCATAAGAATTGGACAATTTTGTAGGCTCTGCTCCAGTTGTGGCCACCCTTCCCTCCCACCTCCCAGGTGTCAGTCAGCGCTGCTGCTGATCCAGCAGAGGAAGCGGTCCTAGCTTCTTGGTCTGTCTTACGTTCTTGTTGGGCTGTGGCTTTGTTTCCTCAGGTGAAGATGGCCCCTCCCAGATGGCCCTGGAGGATTTGGCCATGTTCCGAACAATTCCCAACTGCACCATTTTCTATCCAAGTGATGCTGTCTCCACAGAGTATGCTGTGTTCCTGGCGGCCAATACTGAGGTATTTTTCGGGGGCACTGATTCGGACAGAAAATGCTTCTGAGCTCTGCTACTAGTTTGGTATTGATGTTTTGATTTTTCCCCTTTTTTTCTCAGCATAAAGGTAATATTCATTATGGAAAATTGAGTTGTAGGATTCCTTTTAAAAATAGAACCATTAGCTAATAAAGGTGATTAAGCACATAAAACATGAACACATTCAAAGACAAACAATCAGAGGGATGCTGGCCACCTGATGGCCCAGGACTTGGCGAGAAGAGGGAGCCTGGGGCTCTGAGGCAGGGAGCTTTCAGCTGGGCCCAAGAAGTGAGCTCCAGCAGGGAGCCATCATGTGCTGGCCTTAGATATGCCCATGCCACCACCTGTGACATCCAGAAAGCTGGAGAGGCCTGCGAGACCACTGCAGACAAGCCCTAGGGTCCCCAACCTGGCTCCACCCTCAGAAACAGTGCAGATGAGCAAGAGTATGGCTTCTGCCCCACTTTCTCCTCGTGAAGTCTCACACAAGGGCATCAGATTAACACCACCTAATTCCTGCCCAGAATCCAGTTACAGGGGCATCTGGGGGATGTAGTTTTCACCTTTCCAATCATTCCAGTTGTCACCAGACTCTCCTCACTACGTAGCCCTGCACCCACCCATTCCCCTGCACATGTGACTGAGCACAGTTAGGGTACACTGTGGAAATTCCATTCTAAGCATTTGTAATGTGTTGGAGACAGGTTTCTTTTTTTAATGTTTTCATTGATTTCAGAAGAATGGAGAGAGAAACTTCAATGATAGAGAATCATCAGTCAGCTGCCTCCTGCATGCCGCCCATGGGGATCGAGCTCACAACCCAGGCACATGCCCTGACTGGGAATCTTAACTGGCCAGGTTCAGGGGTCAACACTGAACCACACCATCTGGGCTTGAACTTTTTTTCCCCTTCACCTAAGTGGGCTCAAGCTTATGTATGTTCTGTACTTGAGTTTTTACTTACTATATCCTAGAAATTGTTTTATGCCTGTTTATATACAGAGTGATCTCATGTGCTGGAGGATTCCATTTCTAGGAAGATCAAGAGAGGCAAAACAAAGCTGTGGTGACAAATCAGAGCAGAAATTGTCGCTTGGGCACAGGGAAGGGCAAAAGGGAACTTTCTGGGCAGATGAATGCAATCTGGACTCAGGTGATGCTTATGTGGTATAGGCCTTTGTCAGAATGTGTGGAGCGCTCCACTGAGGTAAATTTTACCTCAACAAAACCATGGAATATAATTTACTTACAACATAGGGATGAATGAACAAAAGCTGTTTCTAAATTAATATACTATCCCTGTAAATTAATTAAATACTTTAGACATTTTGCCGAAACCGGTTTGGCTCAGTGGTAGAGCATCGGTCTGCGGACTGAAAGGTCCCAGGTTTGATTCCGGTCAAGGGCATGTACATTGGTTGTGGGCACATCCCCGGTGGGGTGTGCAAGAGGCAGCTGGTCGATGTTTCTCTCTCATTGACGTTTCTAGCTCTCTATCCCTCTCTCCTCCTCTCTGTGAAAAATCAATAAAATATATTTTTAAAAAATACTTTAGACATTTAGATACTTATACTTTATGTGTTGATAAAAATGTATTTATATCTTACCGTGGAAATATTAAGTCACTTTATATTCCAGTGTTTAAGGCATTTCTAAGGTTGAAGCATTACAAGTTATTTTGGAGAAAATTAACTATAACATTGTGTTCTGACATTTCTATTTAACACGAGCCAGTGCTCCTGCCCTAAATTTATGTTCTGTGTGGGTACAGAACAGGTCAGTGTGGATTTGAGAAAGCTTTTTAAATCAGTGAATGTAGCATTGTGGAAAGCTTGTCACTGAATGCATCGCCAGGGTTCTACATAGGCTTTGCCTGGCTCAGTAGTAACCTGACCAGGGGAGAGCTTACCTGTTTGCCAGTGGTTTGCCTTGCTCCAAAATGTGTGCTTTATTTTAGTAAAGTACTGTTGAGTCCTCCCTCCCTCCCTGCCTTTTTTTTAAAGGTTTATTCATTGGAAATTGAGTTAGACTTTCTACTACTTCTGGTTTCTGTTTATACCCTAGGGGATATGCTACATTCGGACCAATCGACCTGAAACTGATGTTATTTACGCCCCAGAAGAAAAATTTGAGATTGGCAAGGCCAAGGTAAGCCCTTAAGCTCTCCAGTGCCATTTCATGTGCAGATCACTTCTAAAACTAGCACTAGGTATCCTCACAGTTAAGGCTTTGTCCTTCCTTTGTTCTAGTTTTTAAAAAATCAGCTGGGACCTTTGCTTGCTTTTCCTCCAAAAGGAACATTTTACCAATATCAGCCAGAACTGAACTTTTCTCCTCTCTGAATGGAGTCTCTCTTTGTTGAATTTTTAATGATAAAGCAGTACAACTCGAAGGTACTTGAGTTGCTTGACTATAACTTAATCACACAGCCTCGAGCTAAACAAAATAATAGAACCCTTTATTTCAAAGGAATAACAACAGATCTATGAGATTCTGGTTTTGCATCCTCAAGGCCAGGAACAAAAGGAAATGCGAACCATCTTGCTGCTGGCGGTGTGGCCCTGAGATGGTTTTTGCACATTGGATGTGGCCTTACTTCCTGGGTACTTTCTATCTCCCTCATCCTCTCAAAAGCCCTGGAAGCACACATTGTTAGCGGCCATATTTTAGAGATGAGGATCAGAGGAGGTGAGCAGCTTGCTTAGGGTTCACAGTGAAGAACAAGAGTTCATTGCATAGGAAAGTTTTATGCCCTATTATATGCCTTTTAGAAAGTCATTAGTACTCGTCTTAAATATGAGAAAGACCAGTAGCCATTCTTGAAGGAGCTACAGGTGACATCCTACTTGGTTCCTAAGGGCTAGGCTGCTCCAGAATTTATAGTTGCTAGTGCTCAGAATGACTGTAAGCACCGAGTGGCTTTAGTGCATAATAAAGCAGGTATATCCCGACAGCCTATGCCTGCCACCACACTGGGTGGAAAAGCTGCAGTATTCACTTTCAGTGTCCTATTGTCCTCTGTATGCCCACATTTAAATTCAAGGCCATATGTTTTCCTCTGGGGCATGAGGGTTTCAGTGATAGTCAGAGGTCTCCAGAGCTTTCTCATATCTCTCCCTTTCCCCCCAATATTTGCCCTACCCTAACAAAATTCCCTAATGGTAAAGGATGTGAGTTAAAATGCGTATGATAATATGCATGTTATGGATAATTCAAGGGCTGACTTTTACAAAAGAGACATAAGAAGGTACTGTGTGTGATTTTATATAGAGAGAAAGAGGGAGGCTAGGATATTCTCAGAGAATGGAGTGGCTTAGAAGGCCTGAATATCTGTACTGTCATAGGAAAACCTATAAAGATGGCTGAAATGAAGACTAATTCCAGGTGCCTTTGGTTGGGGAGCTTTGAGGAAATCAAACTCAGAAAAAAGCCGAAGGCCCCGTCTTTGCTTGCAGAATAGCAAGTGAATGAGAGCATGGGCTTGACATCAGATGGGCCTGGTTGCTTGTCTCAGCCCTAGGCAAATTCTTCCTGCTCTGAGATTCGCTGCCCTTGGCTCCAGAATGGGCCCACAGAGCATGTACAAAATGTCCTCAAACGGTTCCTGTTAACATACATGTTCACCAGTGGAGTTCAATCTGTTTTTGCTCACCCAGCAAGATGTCTAAGCAGTCCTTTCCAGACTCCTCAGTGGATATGAGTCCATCCTCTGGCTGAATATGAGCCATATAACTCACTTCCGGCCCCTCTGTCTTTTAGGTCCCTGTTTGATATCCATCTTCTTTGTTAAAGTGTCCTTTTGTTTATGTATTGTGTAGGAACTTAGTAATTTGGCACTGAAAATCATGAGGAAAGGTCGATGAATTTGTAAAACATGAAGGGGGTTATCAAAAAGTGTCATTTTTCAGTGAGTTGATTCAGCTTTTTTTGTAGTGAATTATTAAGGTGTGAAATTGGGGAAGAGCAAAAGGTCAGTGAAGAGCAAGCAGTGTTAGCAGAGGGCCTTCCACCTTTAGATGTGCTCTCAACATAGTAACCACAGCATTTTTGTTTTGCGGGTACAATACCAGGTCATTCGCCAGAGTGTCGATGACAAGGTCACAGTTATTGGAGCTGGAGTTACTCTGCATGAAATCTTAGTCGCTGCTGATGAACTTGCCAAACAAGGTCAGTTTGTTGTCAGTAAAAGTCGAAGTTCCAGCTGGTGAGAGGTGGGACTTGGGCTGTCGCATGTGCCCCAAACTGGTGGTCTTATTCTAAGTCTGCTTCATATGCCAAACTGGTCATTGCTCTTCTCCAGATATACCTATCCGTGTCATTGACCTGTTTACCATTAAACCCCTGGATGCTGACACCATCATCGCCCACGCAAAATGCACTGCTGGCCGGATTATTACAGTGGAGGATCACCACCCAGAAGGTACGTCTTTTCAGAGTGCTCTGGCAGGACATGTTTGATTGGAGGCGCCCCATGCTCCTGGGCATCACCTCCACCAACCACTTACCCAGCAACCTTTATCGCTGCTCCTCCCAAGCATACCATCTTAGGAGTCTCTTGCCCACCTACTCATTGTGTATTCCCCAGCATAATGCACAGTGCTCTGGTCCCTGGGTGGCTCGGTGGCACCACAAAGGAATGTCTAACTCAGCATTGTGGACAGGGAGGGCTCATGAAGAGCTTCACAGTTGCTTTTTAGTTTTGAATTAATAGTTTGCACCCCCAAAGAATAGGAGCTGGGTAGTGTTTGGCCGGGGAAAGTTAAGTGGGCCAGATAAGGGGATGGGGAGTTTCATGTCAGGGGTCCCAAAAGCACAGCTGTGATCAGCGTCTCTGGAAGCACTCCCAGTGCCCTCATGGCTGAGATTTACCACGTTGAAAGGGCACAGGTCAGGGAGAGAGAACCTCAGGCCTTGGGCTCCCTCCATTCCTCCTTCCCTCCGTCCCTTCCTCCCGTGGGGCCTGCCAGATACTCCCCGCTCTTCAGCCGTGAAAAATGCATCACTACAGACCCAGGGAACCCACCTGAGACCCAGCACCCTGGGTTTTACTGGGGGCTGGTCATGTGAGAGCCCCCCCCCCCCCATTGCCAGGCATGTACCGAACTTCCCGGCTCCCAGGTGCTCCACGTAAACCACACTTGTACAAACAGTCCAGGTGCAGGGAGCACCCTTATGAGTAGGGGAAGTGTCATGTTGGCCGAGGGGACTTACACCAGCCCACTGTCCAGTTGACACCCGAGGGCCAACCTTGCAAGTGGCCCTTCCTAAGCTAATCACCTCAGGCCTGCCAGTTGCTCTTTTCTTTACAGTTCATTTGTGGATTTTAATCGTTTGGGGGTTCCTGACAGCGTTGAGTATCTGAGCTGCATAGTCCCCTGTATCCATGGAGCCTTGTTGAGAGCCCCTCACTAGAGTAGGTGGGGCTGGGAGCGATTTTGGAACCTACAGTGTAGAATGAGAACTTCTGAGCAGTCAGGAATGATTGCTTCCATGAATCAATGCTAGTGAAAAATCTTTCTCCTGGAAACCAGCCAATTCAAAGGCCTGCAAGCCATAGGGCATTAAGGATGGCTACCCATTTCCAGGACAAAGCCTAACATCCCTCCCTTCCACAGGTGGCATCGGGGAGGTTGTGTGTGCAGCTGTTTCCATGGAGCCTGACATCCTGGTGCACGGCCTGGCAGTACAGGGAGTTCCTCGGTGTGGAAAACCGAGCGAACTACTGGATATGTGTGGAATTAGTGCCAGACACATTATAATGGCTGTGAAATGTATGTTAACCAACTAAAATAGCTGCTGACATCTCTACATTCATACATGTTGACAAACCATTTAAATCTATACTCTTTGTGCTTTCTTATTCTTTCTTGTTCTTAAAACAAATTAAAAATCTTGCAGTTAGGCCATAACTATGTGTACAAGTGCTACTCGCATGTTTAAGCAATTAAAGTGGGTTTTAAGATTGTACGTAAAGAAAATGGGAACTGTAGACTGTAACCGCCTGGGTCGTGCAGCACCACGCTGTGTACTGCTGACCCAGGTGGAGAATGCATGTGCTGCCATCCTACCTGCAGCTTCCTGGGAACTGTGTGACTGCAGTGGCTCTGGAATTTCATCTTCCCTCTCGCGGTGTGTGAGGCAGCAGTGAAAGCTCTTAGATTGTCCTTTGCTGCTTGAGGTGACTTGTCTATGAAGAAAGGATACAACTAGTTCTAGCATACACACTGCACTCTTGTGAGGTCTCACATGTCTCATTTGCCCAGTGACCAGACCTAACTGTAAACTCAATTATATCCATTTACTTGTTAAGACTTAATAAAGCATTACAAAGACAACTTCTTGGCTTCATGTGTGCCTTGTATGTGTGATTTGGTTTTTCCTGGGTAAAATCATCAGCAAGGAAAGAGCTGTCTAAACCAGGAGGAGAAGGGGTACTGAGCAGGAGATGCACCACAAGAGGACAGTGTATTGGCCTGGAAAGCCATCCCTGAGCCGCCTCCTTATTTCAGCTGTGAGTATATAAATCACGTGGCTAGAATGCAAGAAAAAAGTACCAGCCAGATAAAGATGGGCTCAAACTTGAAAATAATTTAAAATGGACTGGATGTGTCTTGGTGTGTCATGGTCCTTATTTTTATTGCTTTCATGAACTGGTCATCAGGAGTCTTTGTCCTGGAATCTGAGGTAGGGACTGAAGAACTGTCCTCACTCGAGAGTGGGCCTACTCATTCTACTCCTGCCCTTTTAACCACTGAGCTTGTTTTCCTAGCCTGTAAAATTAGCGTATTTGTTGTGCTTAGATTTCAAAAAATTAGATTTTAATAATAGATATAATACAAATATCAAACAATTTAAAAATCAAACTTAATTTTTTGACAGAAATCAAAGGAACATTATAGAAAGTTTACTAAATGCACATAAAAATTTTTACCTCAAGTATCTCATACTCCATACAATTTCACCCATTAAAAGTATACAATTCAGTGGTTCTACGGTAGTATATTCAGAGTTGTTACGCAACCATTAACCGTGGTCAATTTTAGATCTGCATCACACCAGAAAGAAACACTTCATTCCTTAGTAGTCACTCCCTACTCACCTTCCCAGCCACTGGCAATCATGTATTTTCTGTCTCTGAATTTGCCCGTTCTGGACATACATATAAAGGAAATCACAGCTTGTGGCCTTTTTGTGTCTGGCTTATTTCACTTCGCATAATGCATTTGAGGCTCATCCACATTATAGCATCTGACAGAACTTACCTTTTTAAGGCCATGTAATAGTCCATCCTCTGTACAGACCACATTTTATCCCTTCATCACCTGATAAACTTTTGAGTCGTTTTCACTTTGTTTTCCATGAATAATGCTAAGAACATTTGTATTCAAGTTTGTGAATACATAGGGTGTCCCAAAAATGTATGCACACATTTTCATTGTAAAGGCAGTGTTTATTAAAATATATTTCATTTAAAAAACTGAGCTATCAGCTGTTACAGGATATATACATTTTTTTGTGGGGGGGGGGACACCCTGTGTATTTTCACTTCCCACGTCTATACAAACCTAGGAGTGGAATTGTTGGGTCATATGGTAAATGTTTACTCTCTAGTGTCTGTGTGTGCATTTAAAGAGTTTTGTGAGAGTGAACCAGAATGACGGCTGTGACATGAAACCAGAATGTGTAGCTATGTATTAGCACCACATTTGGTTGAATCCGGGTGTAAACTGCCCCCATCTGGTGATGCCTACAACAGAAACAGTGTAGATACCACCCGTGATTAAAGTGCCTGGATTCAGGCCCCCTCAGGTGCTTTGAAAGAACAGTAGGGCCTATCTTGTAACAGGCACTGAGAGAAACCATGATCACTCGGAAAGGAGTGCCCTGTGGCCAGCCTGACCCAGGTGTAGCTTCTGAGTGCAGAGTAACCAAGGTGTGGGGGAGGACAGGCACACAGTAAACTGGCATAGGCACTGAATGTTCCTCAATTGTCCCTGAGTCTTCAGAATGCCCCCTTCTCTGAATCCCTTCCATGGGAGAGCGGCATTCAGGGAGGGTGGCCCGCTGTTTGGCCTTCATCCCAGGTTAGCTACTTGGGCTGGTGGGGCAGTGACTAGGTAACCCACTTTGCCTGTTTATTTCATCTGTAAAAGGAGATGCCGCTGCTCATGATGGTGATAGTATCTATCCCACAGGACTACGGCCAAGATTTTACAAGTGCCATCGACATGAGAACAGCCCTGCCTTCCTGACCCGTTCCTCTTCCCCAGCCCTGGCTGGGCCCTCCGCCTGCCCCACCCCCTTCCTGGCCTCATTGGGATTGTCCAGGGCTCAGCGGCGGCGAATCGGCCCGCCTTTCCCCACCCTGACCAGCCCACCCCTTCTCTGCAGCCCTGGCTGCTCACATTCCCCTCCGAATCGCCTGTGTTTTTACTGGTGCGCCCTCTACCCACCATTTGACAGCCTAGCGCCGGCCGGCGCCGGGCCTAACCCGAGCACGCCAATCCTTATGTGGGCGGCAGTGCAGCCACGTCATTGGGTTTTGTTCCGTCACTCATTGAGACTCAGCCAATCAGCGCCGCCATTGAAAAACTGGGCGTGGAGGGCAACGCCAGAGGAGCGAACACCCACTGGCAGCTGGAGCAGGGCTGGTTGCGGCGCTCCCCGCTCCCGGGCATTCCTGGGACAAGGGTTAGACACAGGAAAAAAGCCTACTTTCACCAGAAGGGGGGCTCTGAGGACTGGGGGCTTCCTGGTGGTCAGTTTCAATTGAGGCCAACCAGATGTCCCAGTTCCAAGTGGCGGGATCCCGATCCTCCAATCACTGCCCTAACTTTCACATGAGAAACATGGAGAAAGTGGGAATTCAAATGACACTGGGATTCTGTAGCCCACGCAATGAAACACTGTGTTTGATTTTCAGCACTGTCAGCGCTGCAGATACAGATTGCGGGAATTTTCAGGGCTGTCATTGAAGTCATTTGCTTGTCTGTCATACTGTGGCTTGAGCAGAGAGGAAAGGAACTAGAGCTTGGATATACACACACAGACACACACACACACACACACACAAATATATATATATATATGATTGATTTTTAGAAAGAGGGATAGAGAGTTAGAAACATTGATGAGAGAGAAACATTGATCAACTGCCTCCTGCACAACCCCTACTGGGGATGTGCCTGCAACCCAGTTACATGCCCTTGACCGGAATCGAATCTGGGACCCTTCAGTCTGCAGGCTGACACTGTATCCACTGAGGCAAACCGGTTTAGGGTATAAATATATTTTTTAAATATGTTTTTACTAATTTCAGAAAGGAAGGAAGAGGGAGAGAGAAAAACATCAGTGATTAGAGAGCATCATTGATCGGCTGCTTCCTGCACGTCCCACACTGGGAATGGAGCCCACAACCTGGGCATGTGCCCTGACCAGGAATTGAACTGTGACCTCCTGGTTCACAGATTGATGCTCAATCCCTGAGCCACTCCGGCTGAGCTGGAGCTTGATTATAAGGGGCTAGAAGACTGAATGTGCAAAACGGGATGCCGCAGTAGCAGAGATGGTACAGGAAGAAGCTGCCAAGGGGAGGAAGAGAAGTTGGTGTCATCGGAAGCAGCACCGCCTTCAGGTCACTGATTCTTTGGTGGCATCTCTTTGTGGCTTAATCCATCGGCTGAGATTTTTTTTTTTAATATATTTTTATTGATTTTGTACAGAGAGGAAGGGAGAGAGATAGTTAGAAACATCGATGAGAGAGAGAGAGTCATCGATCAGCTGCCTCTTGCACACCCCCTACTGGGGATATGCCCGCAACCAAGGTACATGCCCTTGACCGGAATCGAACCCGGGACCCTTTAGTCCCCAAGCCGACGCTCTATCGATTGAGCCAAACCGGTCTCGGCTCGGCTGAGATTTTTATTGCAATGACTATGTGTTTGTACTTCTAAAGTGTTTTGGGTGTTTTTTTCCCCAAGTACACCTGGGCTTTTAAAATTATCTTTTATCTTTTTTTTTTTTTTAATCCTCGCCCAAGGATATTTTTCCATTGATTTTTAGAGAGAGTGGAAGAAAGAGGAAAAAACAGAGAAATATCAATGTGTCTAACATTGATCCGTTGCCTCCTGTACGTGTCCTAGTCCGGAATCGAACCTGGGTCCCTTTGGTCCACAGACCAGCGCTCTATCCATTGAGCCAAACCTGCTAGGGCTATTTCTTATCTTTTTTATTCCTTCTTTTGTATCTTTATTTTTGTTGTGTCTCAGAAGCCATTGAAGATTCTGGCAGTTGGAGTAGCTTTATATCACAATAATGCAAACAACTCATAAATATCCATGAGAAACGCTCTCTGGTTTTATGAAAATTCAAAGGTAATATCAATCTATATTTCTAAGTCCCTCTTATTAAAAGGTTAAGCATCAACCTATGAACCAGGAGGTGAGGGTTCAATTCCCAGTCAGGGCACATGCCCAGGTTGTAGGCTTGATCCCCAGTGTGGGGCATACAGGAGGCAGCCGATCAATGATTCTCTCTCATCATTGATGTTTCTATCTCTCTCCCTCTCTCCCTTCCTCTATAAAATCAATAAAAATATTTTTTCAAGGTGGTTCTTGTTTTCACCCTCCCTGCTTCCTTATGTGCTGGCCCAAGGCCTGGGGGATATTCACGTGGTCTCACCCCAACACCTCTGGGACATAGTGATGTGCCACACGCATGACCGAGGAAGCTCTGAGTGAGGGAGAAGCTGGGCTGCAGAGCTTAGCCCGCAAAAGGGGGTCAGGCTTGGATCCCAAAGTCTTTGATCCACACCCTGCCTTGCTAGCTGGTGACTCAGAAAAAAACTACTCAACCTTCTTTGTCTTGCTCATTTCCTCATGGAGGATAGGGATTGACCTGCTACTCACCTCCCAAAGCTGCCAAGAGAATGAGGGGCATGAGTCCAGGCATGTTGCAAACGCTCACAGCCATTACCGAAAATTACATGCCCTGGCCTCTGACAGTTACGCTCTGGGAACATCGATGGGGGCTACTCCTCTCTGCCAGATTCTCCATGAAGACAGGCAGTGTCTTCAATTTTATTTTTTTAATATATTTTTTATTGGTTTCAAAGAGGAAGGGAGAGGGAGATGGAGGGGAAGGGGGGGACAGAGAGAGGAAGGGGGAGGGGAAGGGAGGGAGGAGGGGGGAAGAAGGGGAGGAGGGAAACCCAGCTAGGCAGCACCTCACTGGGCCCAGCCCCACCCACCCCCGTTTTCATTTGCTCTGTTTCCCCAGGGATTTCCTTCCCTTACCTGCAAGCCACATATGCATTTAAAGAATGTAA